TAAGTTAGAGTCTTCTCTTCCATTCCACACTATCTGTTACTTCTGTATCACAACACTTATCCTATATTGAAATTGTTTTACATGTCAGGAGACTTCAATTCCCCAACAGCAGAGACTGTGTCTCTCACATTCTCCCTGTCTAGTTGGATCAGTAGTTGCCTAATAAATATGGTATTAGTGAATGAATAAGTTGGTGGTGCTTCCATATATAGTTTGCTTGGTCCTCGTAGAAGCCTTGTGATGTAGGCAGCCCAGCCTTACTCTTACCCAGAAACTGCCATTTCAAGAAGCCAGGCATCCTACTGGGGTCTGGGCAGGAGTTGGGAGCCACAGCTCTCAGGCTCCAATATTCAAGGCTTTTTGGGGCTGTTCTCCACTACTGGGGACTAAATCTAGGATCTTGTACTAGGCCAGTGCTCTACCACTTTTTTTTTTTTTTTTTTGGTGCTGGGGATCGAACTTGGGTCTTTGTGCTTGCACAGTACTCTACCACTTTTTTTAAAAAAAAATTTTTAATTTTTATACAGGATCTTGCTGAGTTTCCCAGGTTGATTTTTAACTTGTATCCTCTTGCCTTAGCCTCCTAAGTAGCTGGGATTACAGGCATGCCCACTATACCCTACATGACAATTGTTTTTATAAAGTATTTCTTTCTTTAAAAACAACATTTTAGCTAGGGTAGTAGCACATACCTATAGTCCCAGCATTCAGGAGGCTGAAGCAGGATTGCAAGTTGAAGACCAGCCTGGGCTACATAACGAGTTCAAGGCCAACCTGAACTACATAATGAGACCCTTTCTCAAAAACAAAAAAATAGCATGTTAAAAAGATAAACATAAAAATAGCATTTGTGTTTTTCACAGTTAGAAAATTAATATTTTTAAGGTGCCACTTTCCTAAAATACTTTTCCATCATTAAATATTGAATTTCAGTACAGAGAAAAATACAATTTTAAAAACCATAATCAGATTCTGAATTCTAGATATAAATTCTAAATTCAAGTGTATAGAAAAGTTGTATACTTAATTAAGAAATAAAATTTGATTTAAATAAAAATAGCATAAAATAATAAATTTCATTGTATACAATTTGTAGAATACTGAAAAATATGAAAAAGACAATACAAATCACACAGAGGACACTACTGTAGATTAGAGATAGCTTGGACTTGAAAGGGTGGCACTGAATTTGAGTCTCAGTTAAGTGGTTAACTAGATGTTTGACATTTGGCAGGTTACCATACTCTGAGTGTGTCTCCTTACCTGAAATATGGTAACATATTTACCTTTTGAGATTATTGTAAGAATTAGACATATATCTTATACCCAGCATGGTGCCTGGCACATAGTTCGCGTTCTTTAAAAGGTGATGGTATTGACAGTTTTGTGTATTTCTGTCCAGACTTTTCACTCTCTTGTGTGTTCACACATATGCACGTACACCTTTGTGTACACATGTTTTTTGAAGCACATTTATATTCAGTATATCATTGGGTCCTCATAGCAACCCTGTGAGGTAGACAGGGGAGGCGTATTTATAAACCTGTTCTATAGACAGAAGAAACTGAGACTCTGTGAAGCAAAAAGTAACTTGGCTTTGGTGCTGTACAGAGATCTCTGAACCAGGATTTCTCCATTGGTCTCCTGATGCCAAGCCTATGTGCCGTCTCTATCAGCAGTGTGCTTCCTCTCCACCTCCACTTCCACCAAGTACACAAGCATGGGCCTCCAGACCAGCTGGGTCTGTCTGGAAACTGAGAAGTGCTCACTTCTCCTCTAAAATAATACACATTTCCCAATTCTATGGCAACAACCAGGCTTCTGGCTAGAAAGTTAAGGACCTTTGGTCATAGGGCCTTTTTGGAGAGGGAGTATGGCAGAGAATTAATGGATAGAATTCCTGAACTAAATTCATAGACAAGAATAGCCTTCCTCTGCATTTTCTGTGGGGCACAGGTGTACCCATATTTCTTTCAGTGTCCTGGGTACCTAAAAGGCCCATGTGACACCCATTGTGCCTAATATCACTATGTGCATCATTTCATGTTGTTTCCATCTCAGTTCATGGTTTCTGAGGCTGATATGTACCTGACATTGTGTGCCATGACTTATAGAAAAGACGGGTACACAGGGCCTTTAAGAGCACAAGGAAGCTGTCAGAACCAAATAAAATCAGCACTGTAATAGAGCTCCTCACAGGGGATTTGGGAGCAGAAGACTGAGCACAAACTCTAACTCATCTGCAGTTATTGAGGGTAGAGGGTAGGGTTCCCCTTGTTCCAAAGGGACAAGGACTTTTAAACTGGTTTTGATGGCCAAGAGCGCCTCCTGTGCCAGGGGCAGCAGGTGAGTCAAGGTTCAGTTTAATTGTGGGGACATCTTCCTGAGGAAGCTTTCATGCAGTGGTTGCATGCATTCTGAGTTAAGGTCCCACTTACCTTAGATCACCACATAAGGTGACTCTCTGTGGCCTGCCTCCAGAGGAGGAACTGGCAACCCCTTGGTGAGATTATGATACCTCTCCCCACCTCCTACCGCCCACTGTGAAAACAGGAAAGTCAAACACGTTTCTTTCACTTCACTGTCTTTCTACATTTTTCCTTTCTAGTTTCAAAAACAAGTCTTTTTCAAGTTCTGTCTACAAGGGAAGTCTTAACCATTTTTCCCTTTTGGTGTCTCCTCTTCCATTGAGATCCATGCAGAATAGACCAGGTACTCTGTCTTTTGTGTGTGAAGCCATAAAATCTAATATTGAGTATGCGGCAGTGCCCAGAGCTATGCTGCTTCCACAAGGGGCTCCACAGCCCTGCTGTGGTGAAGAGCAAGTATAAATTGCCACTAACAGGGTTTTCTAGCTAGAGCCGTAAGTATGTCTGAGCAGCCCCTGTGGGTCACACTGCTGCCAGCTGTCCTGCTGCTCCTCTGCACTACCTGCCTGTTGGCCATTTCGCTTGTCTGCAGGCCCTCGTCACAGCTTGGGTCAGGGAGGGAAAAGGAGCCAAAGGTCCACACTTGGCTTGCAGCACTGATAAGGAAATAGGTGGGACAAGGGTTGGCACTGGACTGCGTGCAAAGTCAGGGCCGAAAGGACAGGGTTCCATCCTTCTCAACCTGTTTCCCCATGGCCAGTGTCCCCTCCTCAAGGTCCTGAAGATGAGTGACCTTACATTTTATTTCTGTACAGTTTCTCACTATGTTTAACAAATGCCCAGGGACAGCTTTTTTTCCTTCTGATTAACCTTGGTAAAGCTAGGTGTTCCAGTGCCAATGTTTAATTCTTTGAATTCAGAGGATATTGCTGTCCCCAGATGTAACTTGTGCTTAAAACTGTTGGATGCAGTAATATTTTGAGATCCTCTGTGGATTCTTTTTATCCATATGAGTTCTCTCCTCTAAAGTATAATCGAATATCCGCTGTCACAGATTCTGGAAATAGAAGGAAGAATGCACTAAACTGAGCTGTCAGACACTTGGCTGTGGAACCATGCATTCTGCTTGGTGGTGTTGAAGGTGCATTCTGTGTGCTTCCTCCTAATGGCTGCTGTGTGCTTACCCTGAGAAAAATGAGTAGTCTGTCATCACATCAGCACTAATCAACTTTCTGGGCCAAATTGCCATTTTTCTGCTCATGTTCAGCTGGATCCTTTGAGAAGGGAGTGTTGGGCCTTTCCCTTCAGTGGGCAGAGAGCTAGCTTCTATTTTAAAATTTCTCAGAAAAGATTTTTAAAAAGTCCAGCAACCCAGAGCCTGTGTTTATTGAAGGCTGATCTAAAAGTCTCTCATACTGCGTGCCCCATCAGCACTCGAGTGCCTCTATTTTAGAAGGATGTAGAGGTTTAATCACCCTGGTGGGGATTTAGACCCAGAGACTTCAGAGAAATCTTATTATTTCTAACTGCAGGCAAAGAGTATTAAGGCTCCACTCTGGATCAGGGGCATGACATGTTCTATAAGTAATTTATCTTTAACAGGGGAAGGTCCCTACTACAGTGGCCTAGAAACAGAACTGTGATTGGGCACTGGCTCATGGTTCCTCCTTTTCTTTCCCTGTCTTGGTCTCCTACATCTTTCTGTCCTGACCTTTTCCTGCCCATTCTGCCTAGTGTCTGTGTCTGCCTCCCTTCCAGGTGCCTGCCAAGAAGAGATAATAATGTTTTTGCACTCAGTGACTTCATCCAGCAGCCTGGCACAGACCTGTCAACTCTGCAGGCTTCTGCATAGGCATTCACTGTATCCCCTCCAGGGAAGTAGCGGGAGAGGGGAGAAGATGCTGTGGGCTCCACAGGCATTCGGGTCTGTGCTCCTAGACATGAAGAAATGCAGGGCCACTCTCAGCCCCATACCCACCCCTCTTGTTTCCTTCCTGGAGGCAGCACCATGGGAGGCCTACATCTTTCTTTTTTTTTTTTTTGGTTGAGATGGCCTCACTGTGTACTCCAGGCTGGCCTCGAACTAGTGCCAATACACCTGCCTCAGCCTTCCAAGTCCTAGGATTACAGGCGTGGGATACCACACCTGGTGAGAGGCCCACATCTTTAGGGATGTTGCAGAGCTCTGATTTCATCAGCATGAGCCCCCATCACCACCCTCTCTCTCTGGCCTAGCTCTCTGGTCCTGCCTTTCTGGCATTGAGATTTGAGGCTGACACAAGTGGGACTCGTTTGTGGATTCCTTGTGCTGTTTGGGGAATATGGTTTGACTGGTAGCAGATCTAAATCCATGTTCTAATGAGCTGGGTTAAAGCAGGCTTCTGCTATCTGCTTCTAATCTAGCCTGCCTGTCTGAGTTCCTTTCCACAGTTAATGATCTCCTATAATGGTTTTGCCTTTAGTTTTGCCTCCTGGGTCAAAACAAATCAATAGTCCTCACAGATATTTAAAATCCGTCAGTGTAGAGCTCCTGGGTGCCCCCTCCCATTTTTCTCCTTCTGGGTGAACCCAGGCTCTGGGTTGCTTGATCAGTACATTGCTGGTTTTCTCACATGTCCTCTTGTCTCCCAGAAATGGGCAGCAGCGAGCCCCTTCCCATCGCAGACAGCGACAAGAGGAGGAAGAAGAAGCGGAAGGCCCGGGCCACTGACTCCTTACCAGGAAGATTCGAAGGTTTGTTGCCCCCACAGCCCTCAGACGTGAGCCTGTGGCTCTCCAAGCAGTGGTGCCTGTGGGTGCAGATGACAGGATGCTGCATCTTAGGAGTGGACAAGTTTAACAAAGGAGTGACAGTGAGTGGGGGTGGGCAAAGATTTTAGACAACACGTTGGCCTCCCCTGGATGGTCGAGCACCTCCTTGGTGGGCAGGAAAACCAATCTATCAGAGCTGTACATGGATTGCCTCATGGGTCCTGATGCCTTGTCAGATGTGACCCTTACCTCAGCGGTTCCTGGAAGGGCTGCTGAGAAGAGAACAATCACGTAAGAGGAAGCAAGAAACACAAGGGCTGTGGGTGCAGATGATACTGTAGTCTTAGCTAAGGGGAGGATTCCACTCCTAGAGATCAAAGCTACTTATGCTGCATACGTCTGACTCTCTTTGGAAGGGTGCATGTTAAATTGTCAGACATTTTGGGGCACTCCATGAGTGTGGCCTGAGGCTCAGTACCTGGGTTGTTGTCACTGGGCATGTGATAGGGTGAAGTGAATCACTGGACACCCTGCTAAGGACCAAAAGGATCAGTGGCTACTACTGGGAGTAGTGTGTCCCCTTCAGCTATTTTGTTCTTTCATTGTGAGACCTAAAGTAGCTTCCTCTTATGAGCCCTCTTCCTGACCTTGCACACCAGTGGTTCTGACAACAAGCACTGTATGAGTCAGAAATATTGGATTCCAGCCATTAAACATCCTGACATATGTAAAGGACTCACACCAAAGTGTACGCCTTGAGAGAAGCATGTCATTTAAAATACAAACAACAGTGTGCCCTCGGTTCACATAGACAACTTCAAGACCAACCATGGTAGAACCAAGAAACTACTCAGTGGGGGAGGTTGTTTGTTTGCCTACCCTTAACTCAAAAGTAGAGAGCTGTGTGTATGTGAGGGGGAGGGTTGGAAGAGACAAAATTTCCCAGGTTTTTTTTTTTTTTTGAGACAGGATCTCACTATGCAGTTTAGGCTGGCCTTGAACTCACTATGTAGCCCAGACTGGCCTTGAACTTGAAACTTGCATGACCGTCATCATCCTGATCCAGCCTCTGGGAGTGCTGGGATTGCAGGTATAGGCCACCACACCTGTCCCACCAGGGTTTTAGAATAGTTTGCAAACCTACAGGTCTTTTGTACTCTCAGTGAACACAGGAGAGTACTTCCTGTTAAGGATAGCTTATGCAATCACCAACTTCTCATGACTAAGTGTAACAAGAGCTTGGTCACAGTTTAGTCTTCTGCTTAGTCTGTGGGTTTAAGATGAGGCTGCCTCAAGAGGAAAAGCTGAGGAATAAAGGCCAAGGGAAGATGAGGCCAGCTTGTGCTAGTTGTGAGCTTGGTCAGGTCATCCAAACGTTCTTTCATTCCAGGCTTATAGCTATGTTACAAGCACTCTGACTCAGTACCTAAAACCTCAAAGCATCATTTGCATCCTATTTCTGTGTCTGATTTCCTGTGGGTAACTTCTGGAAACTTCTTAGAAACCTCCAATGATCTCCATTGTGTGTGGTATAAAATAGAACAGTGCTTTATTCTCCTTTGCATCACCTGTGGTTGGCACATTGTAGCTGGTCAGGAAATGAGTAAATTAATGAATGATGTTCATTCAAATCCCACCACTTCTATGATGATTCCCGGATTCCCCAGATTTCCCCTTTCCTTTTCTGTGCCTTTTTAAAAAATTTGTGTTTAATCCTCTGTGATCTCTGTGATAGCACTTACCAGTTCCTGGTTTATTCTGGGGCCATTAGGTTATCTGTCTGTCTTTGGACTGGTTTGAGAACCTTAGAGGGAAGGGATTTTGTTTTATTCCTCACAGTGTCCCTGTTATGCTGTCTGGCACACAGCAGGTACTCAGGAAGGAGGTGCTGAATCGCAACCCTTTCTCTGACCTTGTCTCTAAAATGAGAAACAGGATGCCTTCCACGTGACCTTCTTGTTGAGAAACAGATCTGCCATGGCTAGGGAAATGACACATCTTCCTTATCACCAAGTGCTCCAGAGTCATCGTGTGCCTGTTCTGCCTGGGTGGTCAGACCAGGGAAGCTGAGTGACAGGAGCTCTTCCCAGCTTAGCTTACAGGGAGGTGACTCATCTTGTTATTCCTCTCATCCATTTCACCTCTAGATGTGTACACGCTGACCTCTGAATTGCTGGGAGAGGGAGCCTATGCCAAAGTTCAAGGTGCTGTGAGCCTGCAGACTGGCAAAGAGTATGCTGTCAAAGTGAGTGTCTCATCTGGATGTCAGGCTTTACTTGGCAAATAGTCATGTCTATCTTGTCCTAAACTAAATATATTTTATTTTCTTTAATATGGTGGTTCAGTAAGATCCTGGACTCTAAAGCTGTATTCACTGGCTTCAAATCTTGGTCTTTTAATTGGGCAAATTACTTAATTGTTCTGTCGTTTAATTTCCTCATTTGTGAAATGGTTGCAGTAATAGAGCCTATACATAATTGTTGTGAGAACTAAATAAGTTAATATGAGTAAAGTGCTTAGGACAATGCCTGGCTCATAATAGGCTGCTTCTTAGTCTTCTTCCTGGGAAGCCCAGCCAGACTGGCTCTGAAAGAAACATCTTTTTCACCACCTTCCCACAGATGCTAGAAGATAATGGTAACAAGAGAGCCGCCTCCATTCCTTTTTAGAAAGATTGATAGAGATTATAAGTAATTTCTTTAGGTGCCGGGGATTTAGCTCAGTGGTTCAGCTGCCTGCCTTGCAAGCGCAAGGTCCCAAGTTCAATCCCCGGTCCCCCCCAAAAAAGTAATTTCTTTAAAAGTATGCCTAGTGTGGAGGCCAGGGATTTGGCTCAGTGGTGCCACTGCCTGCCTCAAAGGCACAAGGTCCTGAGTTACCAAAAAAAAAAAGTATGCCTAGTGTGGTAAAAACCGCAAATGTAGGTTGATTATCAAAGGCGTGATACATTGACAGATGACAGGTGACAGATCTGTTTCTTCCAGCTTGGGTCACAGGAGGACAGACAACCTGGCCCTTGTTCCATGTTCCCTTGGTTTGGCAGATCCTTGGTTTCAGCACTTCTGCCTGTGTCTTGTGTCACCTCTCCTCTCTGAAAGCTCCCTAAAGATGGGCTCCTTCTCCCAGCATGGCTCCACCAGACTTGGTTTGTTACCATTTTCTCTATGAGTATTCAGCTGATAATCCTCAGGGTCAGAATGGAATGCCCAAATAATCTGAACCAAATTTTCTCTAAGACTCCCCAAAGAGTTTTCCATGTTCTGTTCCCCATCTCTAGTGGCCAGAGCCTGTTACGTCCTCTGAGAAAAGCAATGCTGTTACTGGAAATCCTGCCTTCTGGAAGATTCTCCCTCACTTTGACCTGAACTGTTTGGTGTATGAGACTGAATAGTTCATAGTTCCCCAGCACTGGATCTCGTTGCCTGTTCAGAAAATGGACCCAGGCGGTTTACCAACAGATATGGGCTTATTTAGCAAATTGTAGTTCAATATGTGTTGCAGCGTATTGGAGACTTCTGAGGTGTTATGCTCAGCCTTATTGGAAGGGAGGGGCGGGGCATCAGCAACTGAGGCAGGCCCAGAGCCAGGTCTGCAGAAAACTTGCCCGTAGTCTCTGTTGGGAATGGTCTGGGGTTATGGGTGGGTCCACAGAGATTTTCAGAGCCAGCCAGGACTCCTGAAAACCACCTGGTTCACTGTCGGCTCATGCATTTTGGAGTGGGCATTTTCCAGGTATCTCCAGGCAGAGGTGTGGAGGAAGGACCCCACAGTTTCACAGGAGAGAAGCCTCTAGGTACTGGAAGAAGCTGTCTAGGCTAGGAGCATGTATGGGATAGTGAGGGCTTTGAGGTTAGCCCTCGGGTGTGGGCAGAATGTTCTATACTTCCCTATCCTTGGACAATGTTGTAAGGGTTTACTGAGATTAAGTATATAAATTACTTAATATAGGCCCTGCCAAAGTGTGAGTTCTCAGAAGAGCAAGTACTTGCTTCTGCTTGGAGGACCTACAGGGTGGCATCTGAGCTTGGCCTAGAGGCTTTGGCTCCTCTTGCTATGTCCTCCCTCACCTTTATGCTTCCTCCAGCTCTGGAAGACCCTCCCATAGAGCCTTCACTTCTAACCTGTAAGGCAGGAAGAGCTGCCCTGCAGGAGAAGGAGCTGAGCAGAGCTAGTTTTTTGTCTCTGCCTGCCTCAGTCTCCCCTGGGCAGGTGGAGGTCAGCAGCCTCCTAGGCTTCCTTGGTGCTGTCCATAGCCAGAGGCACAGCCAGACTGGAAGCCCTTGGGCCAGGCTCTTGCTTCACTGAAAGAGCCACAGTGCCTGTGTCACCATGACCCACTCCAAACTCCTGCTGGAAACTGGATTTGGACCATGTTTGCCTTGTCTTCTCCCAGGGAGCTCCTGTCGAGGGACTGTTTTGTGTAAGGTGATGTACATGACAATTTATTCTTCCCACAGATCATTGAAAAACAAGCAGGGCACAGTCGGAGTCGGGTATTCCAAGAGGTGGAGACGCTTTATCAATGTCAAGGAAACAAGTGAGTGTCCTGTGGGCTGACTCGATGCTTCTCTGAGGGATGTGTGGCTGCAGAAACGGAGGTTACTTCTTACCACCTCCTGAGCCCAGCACTTGGCTCTCACCCCTTCCCCACAACTATGAGTAACTTCTTCCATCTTTCAGCAAAGGAGAGAGAAAGGGAAGGAAGGAGGGAGGAAAAGCAGCAATAACCTGAAGAAGCCATCTTCTCTTTAGGCCGAAACACTGTAAATATCAGCAGTCCTGCCAGTTAGAGGAGTAATAGGAATCAGTGGCTGGGGGAAAATGAAGTTTCATTTCTTTCAAATGCCTGTGGAAGCCTGGCCATCTGAGTATTACCTGGTAGAGGTCTTTAGCGCTGCTTTAGTACTGAGATGAGTGTAGGAGGTGTTGAGAATATTCCTGGGTCCTGAAGCAGGTCCGATGACTGGGCCATAGTAACCTCAACCCCCACTAAGCCTGCTCCAAATGAGTGGCGCTCCCATGGTAGCTTTAAATCAGGGTCACCCCCAAGACTTGCTTCCCCATCTCTCTTCCTTCATGGCAGGGTCAGCAGGGAGCCAGTAGCCTGGTATTGATGGCTTTGTCATTAAGCTTGGAGGAAGGGGGCTGCTGTTGATTTAACTCCAGGAGCTGTCTGTACAATCTTCTTTCAAATTAGGCCATTTTGGCCATCTTATTTGGATGTCTTTACACTAGTAAAATCCTAGTGTCTCCCAAAGTGGCCAGCATTTTTTTATAAGGGACAGATTTTTATTTTCAGCCCTGCAGCTTCTTAGTTCAGCATTAGAGACTCTACTTGGTTTATTTCGTTCTTTCAAAGAAAAAAAATCCCAACACCTCCAATATCCAGTCTGGTGGCTTCCCTACTGAGTTACAAGTCGACCTTGTTGGCAGACCACGGCAATACTCGGGCAAGCAGAGAGTGCTCACCGGGGAAGGCCACAAGTGCTACAGTGGCCAGGAACGCGGCCGTTTCATTAAGCAGCGCTTAGCAGTTAGGGTCTAGTGGTGGCCACGTTAGGCCCCAAGTCTATTTGACAGATGTTTCCATTTTCTCCAGGCAATGTAAATACTGCCCCGTGATTTATGGGCAAGAGGGAGGGCAAGTAATTATTTGCTGCTTGCCTCCAGGACACACACCTACTATTCAGTGTTATTAGCCGCAATTGCTTCCAGTCGGCTGCAGATTTTATTCAGTTTAATGTGACCGGGACTTTTTTATAACTCTACCTAGTGGGTTTTAGGGTTGGGGTTTGACAGCACAGACTTGGTGAAAACACCAGAGACTAAACATTATGGAAAGATAAGGTGACCTGAATCTTGCTAACACCATTGGCTGCTTCTCAAACACAGGTCTTTAATAAGCATTCTGATTTCAAGTTGATTTCTGCCCTGCCTCAGGGTGTTGTATATTTTTTCTTTGTGTATTTGTAAGTAGACTTTAATGTGTAATACTGTCCTCCCTCTTCCTATTTTTCCCCATTTAAGGAACATTTTGGAGCTGATTGAGTTCTTTGAAGATGATACAAGGTTTTACTTGGTCTTTGAAAAATTGCAAGGAGGTACTTCCTGTTGAGTATGTGTTTGGACTTCGGATTAAGACCCAGGGTGGGGATCATCCATCATGAATCCCAGAGACTTCTAAAATGAGTCAAGCTAATAAAAAGGATGAAGGACTTAAAAACTGCCCTTGATTTGCAAGAAGGGGTGCCGGAGGGAAGGATGATAATTAGCATTTCACAGAGTTTAGAATGTCACCTGTGTGGGCATTCTATAAATGCTTTTTCATTATGAGTCTTACATAGATACATTTAGTGATCGATTTATCAGTCCCTGTTTTGACACATTCGCCATTTAACTAGAGTAATTATGGGATGGGAGCTTTGGCTTACATTGTTAAGTCCAGAAAGGCTAAACAGAGGAGAGGAGGACCCCTTGGTTTGGGACGGACCCAGGACAGGAGAGGGCAAAAATGCGCCATCCTTCAAGTGGAAGGATGCTACATTGCCCATTGTCATTGTACCGTCACCCACATGACTATTACTGGGATATGTGTTTAATTTGTTCTTCTGCCATGGTAAAGGAGACCGAGGCACTCTTTACTCCCCAACCCTCACCGGACTGTAGGACCATTTGCAAGGTGTAGGTTATGGGAGTGCAGGGATGCACAGAGCTGAGTGGAGGGCTACACAGAGGCTTGGTAGTCAAGGGAGTATGCTTTGGAAACCAGCAAATCTGAGCTTTAGTCTGGCTCCATTACTTACCAGCCTTGTGACCTTCGGCAAGTCCCTTAACCTTTTCCAAACAGTATTCTCATCTGTAAGATGGGACATTGATGGTGCCTGTTTCATGAGGTTGCTATGAAGATTAAATTAGTTCCTATGAAATGCTTAGCTGCATGTCTGGCAGGCGCTAAGAGCTCAATATTGGCTGTTAATATTAAAACAACTGGAAGCTGGGGGCTGCCTTAGAAGTACACATATTCTCTGCCTTCCCTTTTAACAAATTTAGGAATAAGAGGCTCCTATAGCAGCTCAAGCTAGAGCAGAACCAAGAGGTGGTTTTCTGAAAATGTTCTCTACCATACTAGGACCCTTTGTTTAATCACATGAAAGATCTTTAGCAGTTCTTCCTTGGCATTCCTTCCCCATATCAAAAATAAATAATACACAGAGATAACAAGCACAGGCCACTTTAGGACACAGAAATGGCTCCTTCAGCCCAGAAATACTGGCTTTCAGTAGTCAGTATAGATCACATGAAGCCAAGCTGTATGCTCATGCCTGTGTCTGACCCCACCCTGCCTGCTCCACACCAGGACTCGGAATTACTTGTCTGGAATGCTACAAGCAGCTGGGTCCTCTATAGCTATAGCACTTAGAGTATAGCTGCATGGAAGCCAGACCCAAGGGGTAAAGAGGGAGTGGAAGGATTAGAGCAGTCCTTGCCTCCAGCAGTTGGACCACAAGCTCAGCTGAGAGGTCTACACAGGCTCTGGGGCCAGATGGATGACACCTAAAAATCTTGACTCCACAACTTAATGGTGTATGGTCTTGGGCAAGTTGCTTAACCATTTTTGGCATGAAGTTCCCCACTTATAAAATAAAGACAGAAAAATAAAATAAGGACAGCTATACTCCCCATTTTGTACATTTATGAGAATGAGATTATTTAAAGAGCAATGCGTAGTACCTGGCACATAGTAACTAATGAATAAATGTTAGCTGTTACCAATAAAATAATAAGAACAGGAGAAACTTCAGGATGTAAAGCAGTTTCCCCCTTTTTTCATCTAGAGAAGATCTGTCATTTCCATTGGGAAACTTATGCTCTTGCTTGGATCTAAGCTTAAATGCAGAGAAGGAAATGTCTCAAAGTCCTCTCAGCCTCATGTATATTCACTTCCAGTTCCTTTTGATTTCAGAAGCCAAAAAATCCCTAGTAGCACTAATTTTTTTTGCCATATAAGTAATTGTTCTCTGCCACTTCTGAGCTCCTCATAGACAGGCACAGAAGGTAGCAGTCTAAGTTTATTCAGCAGACATATGCTAGTTCCTTCTCTATGCTGGGCAGCACACTTGGCGCTGGACATTTAGCATTGAGTAAGCCTATGACCCCACCTCAAACTTGGGGAAATTTGGCTTCTAAGAAGTAGTACTTCCCAGAGCCTGCAAAGGTGACCTTCCTTTGTCCCCCCTGCTCCTCAGGCTCCATCCTAACCCACATCCAGAAGCAGAAGCACTTCAATGAACGAGAAGCCAGCCGAGTGGTGAGAGACGTTGCCGCTGCCCTTGACTTCCTGCATACCAAAGGTGAGCCAAGCCAAGCCTTGGTGGGCAGGTGAGGCTGGCCAGCCTGTGGGTACCAAGGGAGGAGGTGGGCCTGCAGGGGATTTGTTCAGGAGATGGCACAGCTGGAAAACAACTTGAGATTCAAATATGCCCACCCTGGAAGAGGCAAGGACAGTCTAGCATGTCTCCTAGGCTTCTCTTATGGATGGCGGAGAGATGGTGGCACTGTTAAGTAGGATTAGGATACAAGAGAAGGTGGGAGGGAAAAGAATGAATTTCATATTAAACAAGGTAAGTGTGTGTGTACCTATGTGTGTGGATCCTGCCCTTTTCCTGATGAAAAACAAAAGTCATACATGATACAACTATTCTTGTGCAAATATTTTAATGTCATTCCTTTTAGTTTTTTAAAGTACGTTATCTGTATCTCTCTTTAAGATTGGTAAAATATGTGTGTAATTTTATGTATCTTGTTCATAATAAATGAAAACTATTTTTCTATTCATATGAAAGTTAGAGGTATCCATTGAACATCACAGTGGTAACTAGCAGGTTACTGTTTATTGTCTGAGTTATACTTTGCTTACAGTCCCTTTCCTAGGACTAATAATTTCAGAACTTTTGCAGTGAATCAAGTCTTTTGCAAATTGTTTTTTTGTTTGTTTGTTTGTTTTGTTTTTTTCGGTACCGGGGATTGAACTTGGGACCTTGAGCTTGCGAGGCAGGCACTGGAACCACTGAGCTAAATCCCCGGCCCCAAAAATGACTTTTATTCATTTTTTTTTTTTTTTTGATATCAGGGATTGAACTCAGAACCTTGCACTTGCTAGGCAGGTGGCAGCATCACTGAGCTACATCCCCGGCCTGTGCAAATTGTTTTTACATTTCCATAAATCTGTTGAACTATTACATGTTTTTAAATTTTTCCCAATATCAGTGCCACAGGGCCAGGGATGTAGCTCAGTGGTTTCGCCGCCTGCTGCTCAAGCAAACGCAAGGACCCAAGTTTGATCCCCGGTACCAAAAAAAAAAAAAAAAAAAACCAATATCAGTGCCACAGAAAAAATGAGTTCTGGCTTCACTTCTCTTCCAACTATGCTCCTTCAGTGATAACAGCTATCCAGAGAGTTATGGTGAAGATTAGGAGACACTGTAACATTGTAGCACTTCATGGCAGTTGTCATGTGCTAGGCACTGTTCTTGGCCTTTTATTTATATGAATTCATTTGTGTAGTTTTCTGCATCTTCTCTATATAAAATATATATGTATACGTGTGTGTGTATATATATCTATACGCATATATATATATATCATAGGTGGAGCATAGTTCCTGGCACATAGTAGTTCGTCATGAAGTATTATCTTCTCTACCATGTAGAAAGCATTTTTATTCCTACTATTAATTCCTTGAAGAAAAGCATTCTGCCGGGTGGAGGATGAGGGTGGAGCAAAGAATTCATGACCTGGCTCCGCTCCATCACGACTGTGGCTGTGACCAGCCACACTGGTTGTGAGAGCTCAGGACCAACTGCAGGTGTGCTGCAGGCACATCCCACATTGTGCCCCAGCACAGAGTGGCCTGATGTGCCTGGTGTGTCTGAGGTGACGGATTCTACCTGGTATCCTCCAGTCGCTGAAAGAGATCTGCAAACTGACAGTGTCCATGTTGGGGCCCTGACTTGCACCTGGGATGAAAATTCCTAGAAGAGGGTGTCTGACTTTCTGCCACATGATGAATAGCAGCAGCTCTGTTTCTGAAAGCTGGGATGCATGTAGGTAACACCTGCCTGACAAAGATTTACAACTGCTCCCCAAGCTGCTTCTGTACATTGCAAAACTGGGTCACGCTTTTTTACAAGAGCTATACCTTGGAGGAGGGGTAGAGGTGGTTTTATTTTTTATTTTTTTATTTATTTACAAGAATACACTAAAGGGAATGGAGGCTGGTGGTCTTAGGGGTTCTGAAGTGCTTGTTAACATCTAGCTGGCCAGCTGCCCATGTGACTAGAAGTTGGAGGGGATGAAAAACGATTTCCAGCTGAACTTGGCTGTTTTCTAAATAACTTCATGCTGGGAAGATGAATTGGATGAGAATGGGCCAGCCCTGAAACAAGTTCTGTACTTTTAAATACTGGACACACTGTGGCTTAACCTCTGGGAAATGAACGGGAGCGGCTCCATGGCTGGTGCACTCACTCGGCAGGCCCATTATTCCAGCCTGGCTCTCTGAGTTCTCGGACTGAGGGACGAGTGGGCCACAGGCACCTATTTGGAGAGTAAGGCTCCGTGTGCAGCCTGTGATCCTTCTGTGGGAACACTTGCCGTAATGGAAAATATCCTTCACTTTTAGTGTGGTGAGCAGTAGCCCGACTCAATTTGTGCAGGCTGGGCTGGGCTGCTCTGGGTTCTCATTCAGTTGGGTGACTGATGAAGTGACTTAGCTTGCCAGAGCTCAGCTTTTTCTTTGCTAGTAAAGAGCCTCAGGTGGGCGAGGCCTATGCATTCCAGTAGGGAGTTAGAGGGCTGCCTAAGAAGTTGATCATCCAGTGAGGTTAGGGCAGACCCTGCCTCTCATTACCCCCAAGACTCTTCCGCTGCTTTCCAGGACTTTGAAGTAGATTCTTGCTCAAGCTGCCAGACCTTCTGTCTCTGTTCTGTGCATGCCATGGAAGGGGAAGGAGAGAGATTGGATTCTGTGTCCTCCAGAGCACCACGGCCCTGTTCGTTGTTTCTTTGTCCCTTTCTTTTGGTTAGAAGATGGCTTTCACCTAGTACCGTAGCCCATGTCTGTAATCCCAGCCACTCAGGAGGCTGAAGCAGGAGAATCACACGATCAGGACAACATGGGCAACTTAGCAAGAATCTGACTCAAAATAAATTTTTTACAGATCTGGGATATAGCTCAGTAGCGGGGTGCTTGCCTAGCAGGTATAAGGCCCTGAGTTCAATCCCCAGCACAAAAAACAAACAACAACAACCAAAACCCCCAAGAAAATGGGTTTCCCCCAGGTGCCTTCTTGGGCAGGTTAGCAGTTTTTAACCCCTCATAGGGTGAGATGCTGTTGCTGATCTCTGCAGGAGGCCTGGCCAAAATGCAGAGGTGTCCTCTCTGAAGAACAGCACCCTCAGGCCAGAGCTGTCCTTGCAGAGGAGGTGAGAAGGGAGTCAGGCAGGCTTGGAGAAATTTGTTAGCTAACACTTGGTCTTCTGAACATTGAGGGAGTCCCACAATGAAGGAATCTTTTTTTTTTTTTTTAATCAGCTACACAAGAAGAAATGAGGTAGAGCAGTCTAAGCCCCCCGAGATGCTCATAAACAAGGCTCTAATTATTTCTGTATTGCTATTCCAAGTATTGCCATTTGCAGAGCTCTGTTCTGCTTTGTGTTAGGCTGCACAATAAGAATTCTTGGTTGTCACCACAGTGCTGAAAGGTAGGCTGGCTGGGATTCATTTAGGCCTTCTTATCCCCACCAGACTTCTAAAGCCTCTGCTTCAAAAGAACTTGCAAAATCAACTGTGCTTTGGTTTGTATCTCTGGTTACTTCTGCCTCCTGCAGCTCGTTGGTTTTTTAATGTACCATAATTGGGAATTAATCTGCGAACAACAGCATTTGGAAAAAATTAATTGTGTGTGGAATGTTGGATAATTATGTGCATATGTTAACCATTTCTTTGCTGTGGTGTCATTTCAGGCATTGCTCACCGTGATCTGAAGCCAGAAAATATATTGTGTGAATCTCCAGAAAAGGTACTTAGGGCCTGCTTTGAGGTGTTCCGGTTTATACTAATCAGGAAAGCCAACCTGCTTTCAGTGTACTGTAGATTGTTAGCAATTCTCTCGGCCTCATATACTAACTACAGCTGATTATTATGGACACATGAGAATGCTGTGCCTAATATGTAATGATTCAGCATTCCAAATAGGGTTAGTTCTTGTCCCTCCTTTGCTCTTTGTCATTAATATGATTGGCTCAAGCATACATTTTGTAAAATATATGAGACCCACACAAAACTAACATTTTCTGGTCTGTGTACCTACTTTTAGAGTAGTCAATAGAGTCAGAAACAACTCAGTCTTACATGGGCACATCTCTTCCCACAAATGATATTTGTGGTGTGGTATGTATGCTAGGTGGTGTCTACCATTATAACTAATAATTAGAACCCTGGTTCTATGCTTGCAATAGAACCATGCTTGGTGGTGGTGGCCCATGGTTGCCCATGCTTGGAATCCCATGCTTGCAATCCCATGCTTGCAATTGGTGGCCCATGCTTGCAATCCCAGCTACTCAGGAGGCTGAGACAAGAGGATCATAAGTTTGAGGCCAGCCTGGGCAAGGTAGTGATACTCTGTTTCAAAACTGAATTTGCAAAGGACTGGGGAGTGTGGCTCAGTGGTAGAGTGCTTGCCTAGCATGCTTGAGGCCCTATGTTCAATCCACAGTACCACTAGAAAAAGGGGAAGAAGAAGAAGAAATAATTAGGGTTTTTTGTTTGTTTGGTTTGGTTTGGTTTTTTGAGACAGGGTCTGGCTACATAGTTCAGGCTGGTCTTTCTTGAACTCACTATTATCCCAGGCTGGCCTTGAACTCTCATTGATCTTCCTGCCTCAGCCTTCCAACTACTGGGATCACAGGCATGTGCCATCACACCTGGCAAAGAAGCAATAATTAGGAAACAAGTTCTTGAGAAGAGTTTCTGTTCCCACTTCTGTTTCCAAAAGTACCCATTAAAGAGAATACATCTATGCTTGATGTTGATCAAATGCAACCTATTTTAGACATTTCCTTAACCCACTTTATAACAGTGTATTAAATTGGTAAGTTCTGTGTTTGTTAGAAGAGACTTAGGCCCGTAGTATTGGTGGCCCCCATTCGTGGTTACATGTGTGTTTATAAGGTGCATAGGCAAGAGCTACATGTCTTGGCATGGATGAAGCCATGGCTCATGCATAAGGCATGACTACAAGTGGAACATGAGTCAGCCTGCTGCGCACAGGTCTTCTAGGGGAATAGCAATGTGTTAGCTCAGATAAGATCTTGTGACTTCCATGTCAGTGGTTCTGCCATACAACTTTGTAATTCTTCATTATGATTATTAGAAATAATTACAGTTAACATTTCTGGAGTGCTTAACCGCACTAGGGACTTATGTGCCTATTTAGTATTTATAGACTTATCTTGAGATAGGTACTATTATCTTCATTTTATGGATGAAGAGACTGAAGCTGAGAGAGGTTAGGAAACTTACATGAAGTCAGTAGCTGGTAAGTAGAAGAGCCTAGATTAAAACGTAGCAACCCCAGCACTCCACCCGGGCTCTGAACTACCCATCGTCGCCTCTGATTTACAAGGAGTTTTCATGTCCTTTGTTTCATTTGCTCTTCATGGCACAGGTTTGTTGCCCCCTTTTTATGGTTGGAAAAACTGAAATTAAGAGAAAGCAAAAAGACAACCTACAGAGTGGGAGAAAAGGTTTTCAAATCACATCCATGAGGATTTAATATCTACACCTGATCTTAGCCAAAAGGCCAAGAAGCAATAAGTATTTAATATCTAAAATAACATGAAGAACTCCTAAAATTCAACAGCAAAATGATAACCCAGTTTTAAAGTGGCAAAAGGATTTTAACAGACATTTCCCTCAGCAAGATATACAAATGGCTAACAAACATGTGCAGAGATGGTCAGCATCCTTAGTCATTAGGGAAAAATCAAAACCACAAGGAAGCCACGCACACCTGTAATACTAGCACTCTGAGGGGCTGAGGCAGGAGGACTTCAAGTTCAAGCCCAGCCTGGGCAACTTAGTGACTTAATGAGACCCTGTCTCAAAATTTTAAAAAATAAAAAGGGGTGTAGATGTGGCTCAATTGAAGACCATGGGTTCAATCCCTAGTACTGCAACCAAACAAACCAATGAAAAGGACACCACTACACAGCTAAGATAGCTATTTTTTTTGAGGCAGGGTCTCACTTTGTAGTTTAGGCTGGCCTCGAACTCATGGAGATCCTCCCGCCTCAGCTTCCCAAGTTCTGGGATTACAAGCATGCACCATCACACCCAACAGCCATAATTTTTTAAAAATAGAAAATAACAAGTGTTGGTGAGAATGTGGAGAAAAATGGAAACAAAACTTTTGTACATAGGGAAGGGAGAGGGCTTGGGGGGAATGGGATAAAATAAAATTTATTAATAAAAAGATAATAACAAGTGTTGCTGAGGATGTGGAGAAATTGGAACACTTATACATTGCTGGTGGGAATGTAAAATAAGGAAAACAGTTTGGCAGTTCCTCAGAAGGCTAAACACAGAAATACTACATGACCCAGCAGTTCTCTCCTAGGTATATACCCAAAGAATTGGAAACAGAGCCTTGAACAAATACTTACTTGTACACTAATGTGCATTACAGTGTTGTTCATAATAGCCACAAGGGAGAATCACCCCAGCTGTCCATCTAGGTGAATGGATAAACAAAATGTAGTCTGTACATGCAATGGAACATTATTTGGCCTAAAAACAGACATATTACATGCTATATGTACTGATGCAGGTTACAAAATGGACGACCTTGAAAACAGTATGCTAAGTGAATGGCGGGCACACAAGGACAGATACTGGGTGCTTCCACTTACATGAAATATCTGAAATAGGCAAATGAATAAAGACATAAAATAGGTTTGAGTTACCTGGGGCAGAGGGAGCAGAAATGGCAAGTCATTCCTGGAATCTAGCTTCTGTTTGGAGTGGTGGAAAGATTACGGAAACAGCGGCAATAGTGGGACAACAGCCTGAAATGTAATTAATGCCACTGAATTGTACATTTAAAAATGGCTAAAATGACATATTTTATCTTTTTAATCTTACCACTATAAAAAAAGAAATGCTGGGCCCGGGATGTAGCTCAGGGGTTCCAGCGCCCGCCTTGCAAGTGCAAGGTCTGGAGTTTGATCCCTGGTACCAGAAAAAAAAGAAATACTAAATGAAAAAGAGTGAAAGAAAGAGAGAAGGCACTAGGGAAAAAGTTAGAAGGTTCATCCAGGCCTCCTGGTCATGAACAGGTGAACTAGGACCCACGGACCAGCATTCTCGACTCCCTCACCACAGTCTCCCTCTCCTGCAGACGTGAGTCACCCTGTTGTGGCCGCAGCCACAGCAGCCAGTCTGGTGGGGCTGGCTGCTGAGTTCATGCTGCCCACGGTGACTGAATATCCCAGTTGCCCCAGGAGTTTGAGTACTTCAACCAACCAACCCAAGCAAGCAAACCATGATATGTTGAAGACTCTAAGCCACCTGAAATGGTCAGGGTTTTACTCCGAGCTCCTTTGTCCTCCACCAAATGGAGTGCAAGGGGTCTGTGTTTCAGTAATACAGTAAGTCCCTGACTTAGGAACAGTCAAGTTATGAACTTTCACAGTTGTACTGTATAAGATTCATGGGTGTATTGTAGAAGACTCTTGTTGGATTACAAATGAATCTGACTTACATTCTCCTGGAATGGAACTCATTTGTAAGTCAGGGACTTCCTGTACATATTAACTTCTCTGGATCTGTCTTGCAACCTATGCCATTATTTACTGTCAGGAGTCCTGTTCTCATACTGAGTTCACAGAAGTCTAATACCATGTAATTCACCTGTTTTTCCCCTCAGATGAGAAATAAGAGAGAACATGAGGAAGAGGACACATTGGAAAAGGTCTCCAGGTGGCTCCTACTTAACCCAAGGAGATAGAGCCAGGCTGAAGTGTGATGGCCGTATGCCCACATGGCCCTCCGGCTGGTCTCCTCGTGCCTCTGGCTTTTTTGTATCTGTGACCTCTGTTCTCTGTTTCCCCTTTCAGGTGTCTCCAGTGAAAATCTGTGACTTTGATTTGGGCAGTGGGATGAAACTTAACAACTCCTGCACACCCATAACCACACCAGAGTTGACCACTCCAGTACGTATATCTGCATACCCTGTGCCCTTCATGTTGGGCTGCTGCACTTATGGAAGGCCCCTGAACCAAAGCTGTGGCGTCCAGAACAGAGGGCTAAGGAAGGGAAACCAAGTGTGTCTGTAGCGCTTTCCCAGGCCCAAAATGCCCTTTGCTCAGCGCTCTGTACTAGTAGCTCCCAAGCCCAATGCCTGTCCTATTGCTGATGAAACTAACATTGGCACTTTAGTTTAGGGTCAGTCATCTCTGCTAAGAAAGGGACAAATTGTCTCCATGAGCACAGGCTGCCTCCTGACTCCTGTCCCAGGTGAAAACACACCACTCCCAGCCCAGCCCTTGTTGCATCCAGCAGTGTGCATAGCTCTGAGTCTCATTGCCTCTGGGAATCAGCATGTCCCCCTTGTGGTGGAGGAGGGACATGTCCTCCCCACTAGAAGAAAAAGAACTATCCATGTGGGAATCACAAAGTTCCTGGCTACATGTGTGTGGGGTCACTTGGCCAAATTAACCTCTTGCTTCTCTCACTTCACATTTCACAGCCAAATGATGCTGCCAAGAGCTACTTCTTCCTATGACATCTTTTAACATACTTGATACACTATAATTAGGATAGCTGTTTTGAAATTTGCCTGTTTCATAGGGAATTTTCCTGATATCCTTTATAAAAGACATCCCTTTAGATATGCCAATACTGTGTCTTTTCCTAAGCAACCTCATTAGGAATGTTTCTGTAGTAGTGTCTAACATATGTGCTGCCTTGTTCTCAAAATTATTAACTCTAATTGCTTATAACAAAGAAAATATCCTTTCTTGAGAGCACTTATCTTCTAATCAAATTACTTTCACGGGGTAGGAGTGGGAGGCTGTTTCTCAGTGAACTGAAGTAAAGAAAAGGGGAGTGTTTCACTCTTCTCAGTAGTTTTCTGTGCGAGGGTGGGAGGAGTCCTGGATCCTCATCCTGGGTCTACCACTGCTGCACTCCCTGTCCTTTCTTGGGCCTTGTTTTTGTTTGGTTGGTAGGTTTTTTTGGTATGGGGGATCGAACTCAGGACCTTGTGGTTTCGAGGCAGGCGCAGTGCCACTGAGCTAAATCCCCAGCCCTGAGCCTTGTTTTTTCCATCTATAAATACGGGAGGGAAAGAGGGCTTGTCATTAGAATTCTCCTAGTTTTGATGGTCTCTTGATTCCAAATCCTTACACTTCCTTGCTCCCAGTTAGTGGGGAAGCTGGGCAGGAGTCACTTTAAGAAATCCTTGCTGCATGGAGCTGGCTTTCCACACATCTCCCTCCCAGGCTACATTTCTGGTGCATTTAAGTCCCTGTACCACACGTGGTCTGTTTACAGAGCACCAAGGCACGGGAGGCTCTCTGCCCACAGAGAAGGGATGTGATGGGCTCAGTTCAAAGCTTCTCCAAGTGCCTCGGTGGTATCAGGCAAAATCTCTGGCTTTTCCTGATGACTGTCCTTCCATCCCCTTGCTCAGGTTACATTCTGCACCTTGCCATCCCCTGCTCCTAGGACTTACCTTTTGTCTTCTCTGCCATCTTCCCTTCCCCAATCCTTGGTACCTACAGTGCGGCTCTGCAGAGTACATGGCCCCGGAGGTGGTAGAGGTCTTCAGGGATGAGGCCACTTTCTATGACAAGCGCTGTGACCTATGGAGCCTGGGCGTGGTCCTCTACATCATGCTGAGCGGCTACCCACCCTTCGTGGGTCACTGCGGGGCTGACTGTGGCTGGGACCGGGGAGAGGTGTGCAGGGTGTGCCAGGTGAGCAGGGCCCACGATGCAGCCGCCACATGGGTCAGGGGGGCTGTGGAATGCCAGGCAGGACTGGGCTGGGGATTGTTCCTGGTCTGGTAGGGGTTTATAGTGCCCCTTCCTCTTCCCTCAGGGCAGTCATGAGCTAACATCAGGCACTTGATTCAGCTAGAAGCTTGAGGGAGGGGGTTGGAGCTCATACCTGAGCAGGCTCTGAAAAGATGAATCTTGGCTGAGGAAGAGGGACGGCAAATATGAGGAGGAACAGTACCCGCAGAGACATAGAGATGAAACGAGTGAGTGCAGGGAGGGAGAGAGAAGTATGATATGGCTGATGCTATGGCTAGGAGGCAAGGCTCTGGGGGTGCCGGGAGCCAGGTCATGGAGCACCCTCTCTGAAGGGCCAAGGAGCTGGGCTTTGTTCTATTGGCAGCACTCCTGACCCTTCACCCCTCCACCCTCCCACGTAGCATAATTATCCCAACTTGCCAAGGGCATTTGTACCCTTTGGTGATTTAAGGTGAAGAAGAGGGTCAGGAAAGGGACTGTATCTGTGGCAGCCCCAAGCCACGAGCAGCGGCTGCAGCTGAGGTCACTTAGAACCAGGATGATCAGAACAATGACAGGCGCATCCTGTGCACCCCCTGGGCAGTGTGGCCTCAGGAGGAATCTTCTTTACCTAGAACAAGCTGTTTGAGAGCATCCAGGAAGGCAAATATGAGTTTCCTGACAGGGACTGGGCTCACATCTCCGATGAGGCCAAAGACCTCATCTCCAAGCTCCTGGTTCGAGATGCAAAGCAGAGACTCAGTGCTGCCCAAGTTCTACAGCACCCGTGGGTGCAGGGGGTGAGTGACGCCAGAGAGGGGTGGTGTGCTACCTCTCCATGCCAGCAGCATGGCCACGAAGAAGCTTCATACCAGCAAGTGAAGAACACCAGAGGCAGCTGTGGCCTCAGAGTGTACCTTTCTTGCTCTCTTGAAAAGTCTGACCCTACCGACAAGCAGAGCCCAGTCCTTGTGCTGGGCAGAGAGCCTGTTGTCATCTTCCCCCTCTGTGCTGGCTTGGGTGGGGCAGCTGTGGAAAGAGGGAGAAGTGCGTACTCACATTCTGTCCTTCCATTCTAGCAAGCTCCAGAAAGGGGACTCCCCACGCCCCAAGTCCTCCAGAGGTAAATGCTCCCACTACATCTCGCACCTTCTCTCCTTGGCCTTGACTTTCCCTCCAGCCCTCAGCCACTTTGGGCTAGAGGTGGGGCACAAAGAGGCCATCTCCAGGCTCAGATTCCCTTCAGAGATGCTCCCGTGCCCCTTCTCTATCCCCTCAGACTCCCTCGTTCCCTTCTTGCCATTGTAGATCTCTCTTCCTCTACGTTGATTGCTTCCTCTGCCCTTCAGTGCCTCTCAGGCCCATCCTTGCATGTTTGCAGGAAAAAAACCTTCCATACCCACATGCATCTCATTGAAAATCATCATTTACAGCCCAAAGACAGACTTTATTAGTGGGTTATTCACACTGGGGTGTCCTGCTGGCAGAGTTGGTGAAAGTCGTGGGGGATGGAGCACTGTAAGGCAGAGGGACCCGTTGTCACATACACTACAAAACAGACAAGAATGCCATTGTATATTTGCTGTCGTTGACGGAAAGGTCATTGTGCAGTAGATGAGTATATTCAAATTTAAAGAGAGGTTTTCCTAGCCCCATTTTATAGATGAGAAAACTGAGAAATCGAGAGATCAGGATAACTTGTTTGAGGCTGCACAGTGGCCCTTAATTGTAAGAGCCTTTTAACAACCAGATACATATGTTTCTGACAGGCCCTACCCTAGAGACCCAAGGTAAGCTGGGTGAGAAACCCCCTTAGGAGTCAGCCACGTGGCTGGTTTTTAGAAGGTTCACAGGGAAGTCTTACCCAGCATGGTCTCAATTCTTTATTCCTGTGGTGCTGTCTGGGGCTACTTCCAGAAACCGTCAAGCAGCAAATCTCAGATCCCCCTCAGGTGATATATTTGATAAATTCAAAGTGCACATCAGGCATTAGCCCTGGCCTAGGTTCTGGGGACACCGACATAAACAGCATAGCCCTTGCTCCAGGAGTTCCCTTCCCTGCTTGGGGAGGGGACACAGGTGAGCTTAGTGCTCCGTGACCCTGCCTCCGGAATAGCTGTGTGTGGAGTGGTGGAACCCAGAGGAGGGGCCTCTGAGAGGAATGGGGTATTCTCCCTGACTCTAGACTAGGGATTGTAGTTGAGGCTCATTCTAGCCTCAGTCAAGCAGGAATCCAAACCCAGGAAAGAGTTGCTTTGGAGAGAGCAACCCACACAGCTCAGAAATCTGGTGGGAGTATGGAGCCCAGCTGTGAGTGGCATGTTGCAGAGCCACCTGGCTAACTTGGGCTCCTTCCTCCCCCTCTATACCTTGTCCTGCCCCTGCAGAAACAGCAGCACCATGGATCTGACACTATTTGCAGCTGAAGCCATTGCTCTTAACCGCCAGCTGTCTCAGCATGAGGAGAATGAACTGGCCCAGGAGCCAGAGGCACTGGCTAAGGGCCTCTGCTCCATGAAGCTTTCGCCTCCCTCCAAGTCTCGCCTGGCCCGCCGGCGGGCCCTGACCCAAGCAGGCCGAAGTGGAGAGACGGGACCATGCCTGACCCCCGAAGAACTCTGAACCACTCCAGTCATGTGTTAGGCCTAAACATTGTCCCCTAGAAACCTGTGAGGCCAGAGTCTGTGGAGCAGACAGAGGAGTTTTCCCTCTGGCTCCAGTCAAGCTTCCTCCATCCACGAAGGCCCTACGGTTCCCAGCCAACCCCCCATTTCCCCACAGTCCTTGTAGAAAAAAGCTGTTTCCAAAGGGGTTGTCTTTGAAAAGGGAAGCAATCACCTGTCACTGCATAATCACTGGCAGCAGGGGCATCTTTTTGCTGGGCTCCACCTGCTCACCTGCCTGCAGAGCCCCATCCAGCCTGCTCTGGAAGTTTCAGCTGGGGCCACAGCCTTCAGGGAGCCACCTTCAAGAAGCAGAAGTGTCATTTGACAGAGGCTGTTGACACATGTGCCTCTTCCACCTTGCTCTGTCCTCTGGATGTCCTCTCTGCCTGTCCTCTCCCTTCCTGAGCAAAGCCATCCCCTCCGTACAGGAAAGGCAGAGGGCCCTTCTCCTTCAGGAGGCCAGATCAGTCTTCCAGCCTGTGGCGCAGAGGAGCACATAATCTTTCTTCGCTGTGACCAAGATGTGTTCCTCATTTATCATCCTCTTCCTTCTTTGTGATTGCTGCTAAAGTCAGTATTAGTTTGGTTTTTTAAATGTTTTTAAATGTGCTCTTTCAGCAAACACAGAATTTTAAGCTCCCCTTTTAAGCCCATGGATTTTCCAAGGCAGAATGTCCATGTGCTTGGTTTTTAATTAGCTCTTCCCTGTAGTCCTAACTGGTTTTTAAGCTGTTCCCCTGATGAGCACCTTAGAGTCTGTCCATGTCTGTTACTGCTGTGTCCCCAGGTCCTGTATGGAGGGTGGCACAGGTATAGAGCAGTCAGATGGAGCTTTGTGCCTGAGGCAAAGCCAGATCAGAGGCAGGCCCACTGCACAGGAGCGTGAAGGGGCAGATAAGCTATTGAGTTATATAACGAAAATAAATATGCATATGTCAGACATATATTCAACTCAGCCACTACTGTGCCATCACATAGTGTGCTTGTTTTAATAAAACTTTGATTTTAGTTGTGGCCTATGTAGTGGTCCTTTCTTTACTTGCAAACCTGAGGAGACAGGCCTCCTGGGGCTGAGCCCAGATAGGTGGGAGAAGGAGCTCTTGTCAGGATTCCCAAATATAACGGCACATTTGATAACACAAAAGTAATGGAGATACTGCTTTTCCGATTTTAGGTGAAGAAATGAAATTCATTAAACATTTCTTCTGCAGGACTCAAAGATGAGCAAAAAAAAAAAAAAAGCCTCTGCTTTTCAGCAGCTGCCCATCGAGAGATTGACACAAGCAGACTTCAGAAGGCACTTTAATAGATATCCCCATACCCACCTCATGCAGGAACAAACTTCTTCCATGTCTAAAGCATCACTGTGCCTTTATGAAGGGCCTGTTGTGTGCCTAGTACTACACTTGTCCTGCCAGAATTGGCAAGAAAAAAAACAGTGCCTCCCATCCATAGTCTCTGTGTACGTCATCTGGTGTAATAGACCCCAGAGCCAGACTGAAGAGACCCAGGTGAGAAGGACCTTTGTAAGTTCCTAAGAAGGTAGCAAGAGAGAAGCCTGGGGATCAGGGTGCTAACAACAGCTCTTTGCCCTGAGGAAAGCAGAAAGGACGTGGGACTAGGCACTTCGTTTTGGCTCAGGTCATGGGCAGGCTACCAGCTGTCCCACACTATGAGTGCCTGCACATGTATGTGACATTTCTTGTTGATCGTCCCTTCACAGTGATCCTTACCACCTTCATATCCTTGTGTCTCTACCTGAAATGAGGTAGAACCCAAACCTTGGCCCAAAGGCTCCTGGATGCTGGGGACCCAGCAGGAGAGATCAGTGCTTTCAGTCCCAGCCTGATCACTCCACCCCAGGTTGGCCCAACAGGAATCTGACTTCAGGGGGCTTCCTGGCTCAAGCATACTCTACCCCCAGCCCCATCCTGCTCTGCTCATCCCCTCCCACCCTAGCTCTCAGGTTCTGCCATTGCTAAAGCTGCAGTCTCCCATCTGCCTCCCCTCGCCAGTCCCCATGGCAAGGCCCCTGTTGTATCCATGGCTCTGCTTAAGTGCTACCATACCCACTTTGGTTTTGCTAGCATTGGTGTGCACTAAGCAACCATGCTTTCTACGTTTACAGACTATTTCTTAACAGCAGTCCCAAGAGTTTGGTACTATTATTTTTTTCCCCCACTTTACATGAAAAACTAAGCCAAGAAAGGAAAAATCATTTGCCCAGGACTGTATATAGCTGGGAATGCTGCCTAGGTTCAAATCTCAGATCAGCAGCTTACTGGCTTTGGGCCTTGGGCAAGTTTCTTAGTCTCTGAAAGTTTCTTCAGCTGTAAATAGGGATGAAAGCACTAAGTTCATGGTGCTCCTGTGAAAGTTACAAAGTAGTAAGTATAAAACGTTAAGAGGAGTTCCACGGTTAAATGCTCCATACATGTCAGCTAGTCTAGTTTTAGTTCTGTTTGTTGTTGTCTCCTGGGGCAGAATTATTCAACCCACAGTTCCAGTGATGAACTTCCCCTTTCCTTTAACTCAGGGAGCCCACTGTGGAAGGGCTTGTGGAAGCCATTTTGAGATGAGCCAGGCCTCGGGCCCTCTGTGGCATCCTCTTGCTGACAGGCTGCTCTGCCTCTTCGGGCTTGAGTACCTTGTCCAAGAGAGGCAGCTGTGGTGCCAGGGAAAGAACCTAGGGGTGGGGGGCCAAAGGCCTTGGATTCTAGTCCTTCCTCTGCCACTATCCACATGGAACCCTAGGAGACCTGGCAGAAGCAGATAGGACAGATGCATTGAGGAAGGCTCTGGGATGGAGAGCCCTATCCAGCCATGGGACTTGCAGTGGTGGAAGCCAGTTCCCCAGATCCAGGGGTCACACTGGGCTGAGCCTTAGGAGAGGCCTGGTCCCAGCGGCTGGAGTGTCTCACATCTCAGGCCTCATTTCTCAATTCCGCTTAGCACCCCTCGGCCTCAGCCCCGGTCCTGGTTCAATCAAAACCCTGAGGACAAGGGGGCAATCAAGTCTCTCTGCCTCCATGTGTCCAGCTGCCTGAGTACTGGGCCCCGCCTCCCTCCTGGCCCACTGCCCCTCACCAGACCCAACTCCACAAACAGCACTGCCTTGGTCCCATGCCAACTGCTCCAGCTGCTTCAGGTCTGGAGGGGGCTCAGGAGCAAGGTCCCCCCAAGGCTGATACTCTTGTTGCCATGGAAGCAGTTACCTTGGAAGCCACTTCCTGACTTCAGCTTCTGAATGGCCCAGGAAAGCTGCCTGTCCCCTGAGGGACTGGTGAATTAATCATGCTCTTTTCCCTGGTTCTTACCCCTCAAGGGAAATAAGCAGAACCAAACCAAGCTGCAGCTTGTTCTCCCACTCTGCCTCCCCATCCTCACGCCACACTTGGCCTTGGTGCTTCTGCAAAGGAAAGCTTGCCTCACCAGGAGATGAGGAGAGATTCTGAGCACTGTGGCTCCAGGAGGACCAGGCTCCCTGGAGGAGGGCTCTGACGCTTGGGCTGCTTGGGCACACTCAACTGTTACTTTGAGCCCTATCACCCAGGGACCAAGATATTTTTTTTTCATGGATTACATAGCCCATAATGAAAGAATTGGCAAGCTTCCTCTCTACATTAGCGATCAGTGGAGGAGCAGGCATCACAGCTGGTTCAGGAGCCCTTCATGATGTTTCCTGTTCAGAGGAAGACGCACACCTGGACTAGTTCTTTTGACCAGTTTCCCTCTCTCAGGCTGGACGCTATGGCTTGGATATGGTTCGAGTGCGTTCCCCAAGGGTTCGTGTATTAGCACTTGGGTCCTCAATGTGGCAGTGTTAGGAGGGGGTAGGAAGTGGGGTCCAGCATATGGTAATGGGTCACTGGAGATACCGCCCTTGGAAAGAATTAATGCTGACCTTGAATTAGTGAGTTCTTGTGAAGTAGGTTGTTATAGAGCAAGACCAGCTTCTCCTCTGCTTCCTGACTTCTTATCTCACCATGTGCTCTCTTGCTCTCGGACATGCTTCTCCCAATGTGATATCATCCCCACGAGGCCCTTAACAGAAGCCAAATGGAAAAAGTTATCCAATTTTGGACTTTCAGACCCCAAAACTGCAAGCTAAATAAACCTCTTCTCTTTGTAAAGTATCCAGCCTCAGGTATTTTGTTACAACAACAGAAAATGGACTAACACAGTAGAGCTGCCAATTCCTCTTACCGCACACTGTAGAAATTCAGGAGAGAGACACGCTAGAGAACTTCCCAGCTGAGCAGAAGCCCAGGTGCACAGGTTCTACTGAGGCTCTGGGGAAATTCCTCTGCTTTCCTACACTTGATCTTAGCCAAAAGGCCGAGAAGTGATCTTCTCCCTTCCTAAATCTTTGTTTCCCCATGTATTCAAAGACAAAGCTAGGATGTCTGAAGTTCAGACATGATAACTGATATTGGCTTCAAGTGTTGGTCCTCTGCATTCCGCCCTGAACTCTTTCTTTGCCCCAAGGGATTTACAGTATTGAAGAAAATTTCTGAATTGGAATTTGGTCTCCAGTTTGGGGAGGTCAGGGTGCTCTGAAATCTGACTGACACTCATGGTGCACAGACATCCCTGTCCCTGCCCCTGCACTGCAGCCCCGGTGCCCAGGGTGCAGTGAGGAGCATGGCCCAGGGGGTTCTGTCTTGCTGTCTTGCACAGGAGACTTGGCCTTGGAGCGATGTGAACTCAAAGGAGTTGGGGGTCAGGGCTTTATGGAGGGTGCTCAGATTCCCAAAGGAGGACCTCTGAGAGATGCATTTACATGGACACTTACTTTGGTGGCTTCTTCTAAAATGAGTAAGTCAGGGATCAGTTACATGTGAGAGACACATGAGCTGTCATTTGATGCCCAATTAGAGAAATAACCAGACCTTGTCTTGACAGGAGGCACAGGGTATATTGATGGGGCAGTGGAGACTAGGGAACAGCTGGCTCCAAGGCCTTCCTCTTTATGGGGTCCTGAGGGCCCATCCATGCCCTGTGGCTTCCTCCTCTCTGGCTTCCTCCTTTCTGGCTTCCTGATGGTGCCTTCCTACAGCTGAAGCTCCCATCAGGTGACCCTGGGGCCTTCTTAAGCCCCCTCTCCACATCAAGGGAAGACTGTTGGTAATAAACAGTTTCCCTCCTGCCCATGCCTCTCCTTTTTGCTGACCCAAGGTAGTCATGCAGTCCAAACCTTCTCCCTGAACTCTCACCTGTGTCCCAAAGGGACATGTCAGAGAGCCAAATCCCTCGGGCCATGGCATCCTGTGGAAAGCAGAGAGGTCAACGACAGAAAGTGGGCCCTTCAGGTGGTGGGCCACCCACTGGCCCAGGTGTGGAGAGGGCTGCACAGAGGCTGCTGGCCATGCAGGCCCTTCTGGAGACAGGGGGCTGTTCCAGCCAGTAGGGGGCAGACAGGCTCAGTAGAGGGAGGGCAGGACTGGGGAGAAGGGGGGCAGCTGTGGAGGCAAGAGACCTTGAGTCTGGCTGAAACTGCAGACATGATAGGAAGAGAGGGGACAGCCAAAAAGAGGCCCATAGGGCCAGTGACCAGACTCCAAGCAGAGTAATAGGACCTGGGGATGTGCCCAGGTGAGGGGCAGGCGGTGTTCTCGAGCAGTGGAGGCCCTGATCCATAAAGGGCCAGAGAATGAAGAAGGCTAGAATTAGAGGCTGGGGGCAGGCGCAGGGCTCTAGGATCAGGGCTGGGTTAGGTTACTGCTGCCCAGGCTCAGGTTGGCCAATCCTGCAAGTAGGTCAGTCAGGCTGGGTGGAGCTACTGAGCCCGGTAGGCTGCAAAGTGTCCCAGCCTCCTATTCCTGTCTGATGACACCCAGCACCCCCTTCAGTTCCTCTCCTGACCCTTACCCCTTACCCACCACTACCACTGCTGCTCCCTGTCCACTCCCAGCCAGGGGAAGCAGGAAGGGCTCACTAAAGGGGGTGAGTACCAACTCTTCCTGAGAAAGGGGTCCCCTAAGTCAATCCTCAAACTATGACCCCTCAACCCTGCCTGGGACCCTAAAGATTGACAGGATGAAGGGGACAGAGTAGTGTGGACTTGGAGGGTTACTGCCCTGTCTCCTCCTTCTGACTCACTCACAGTTCCTGTCTCCTGAGCCCTAGATCTAGCTCTAGATCTTCTTCCATGTCTCTGTCTCTGGGTCTCCAAATAGGAGCCTCAGGTGCACCTCCAGGCCAAATGGCAGAGGAAGCAGAGTGAGCATGTAACCAGGGAATCCCCTCACATCCCTGACCTCTGACCCCCATGTGAAGCTACCAGCTCATTCTTCTTGCTTGGGAACCAACAGCAGAACCTCCAGTGACTGCCCACTGGGCCTCCAGGACCCAGGCAGTAGCTCACATTGCAACCTCATGAATAACTCAGCTCCTCCTGCTGCCTGCATCTCAGAGGAATGTGTGTCCACTGGACCAGCACCCTACCCCACCTCTCATTGCTTTAAACTTTAATAGGCCTAGGCTCAGTGGCAATTGAGCAGGCTCCAGAAAGCTAGGGCAGGATGTCCTGGGCAAGGCAGTTCCCAGTCCTGGAAAGAAAGGAGGATCCCATGGGGCAGGCTCAGCTCCCTAGAACTCTGGCAGCCGAAGTAGAAATCTGGCCAGGCAGAAGTCCCAAGAGTGGCCTCCAGCTCCAGTACTCTTTGGGGGACTAAGAGTGAGCTGGGATATCCAGGTCAAGGTGGAGCTGGGAACCCCTAGAAGAGCTGTAGGATAAGGTTGTGGATAAATCCAGAGGTTACCTACCTAGACTCTTAAAATCTTGCCCAGAAACTCCCACCCTGAGGGTGGAACTTCAACAAGGGGACAGAGACCTCCAGGACTGGGTAGAGGCAGTGCCCTGGGTAGGTCTGCATGGACATCCCCATCAACAGCAGAGACTTCCACTGTCTGCAGCTGGCCTGTGTGGCCCTCGGCCTGGTGGCCGGCAGCATCATCATCGGCGTTTCCGTGTCCAAGGCCGCAGCTGCTGTGGGCGGTATCTTCCTTGGTGCTGCCGGGCTGGGTGAGCAGGGCTAGGTTGGGGTAGGGAGGAGGAGATTCTGGTGGGGAATGGGGACCTGCTCAGGTGAGCAAGAAATGGTGGGGTGAGCTGGATCCACAGGAATTGGCTGGGGAGAATGGAAGCTAAAAGTGTGTGCAAGGTAGCCATCCAGGGTATGGAAGGAGAGAAGTGAGGTGGGACCCCCAGTTGAGGGGACTAGGGGTGAGGGCTTGTTGTCACACTCCTTTCTGGCTACCTATGTCGGGCTCCACAACCCCAAGCCCCAGGCTCTTGGGTTTGTCCTGATTAGAGGCAGGATTCATCCGCCTGTTTGCGGTGGGTTGGTGGGGATAAGCAAATCAGCACAGCTAAGATAAAGTGTTTCCTTTTCTTTGTCTCGGCAGTAGCACTGTCCATCTGTCTGTCTGAGCCAGGCCCACTGACATCCCCAGAGTGACACTGAATGTCATCTTTCACCCCACCCCATCACCCTGGGCCAAAAGCAGAACATGGAGCCCTAAGCTGGCGGCTCTAGGCATCTGTACCCAGAATTCTGGCACAAGTAGTTGGTCTCAGGAGGAGCAGGATTAGGCAGGGCAGAACCCACTCTGCCCCTCCAGGAGGGGATAGGGAGGAGCATGCAGAGGAGCCCCTGATTCCAGCCCTGGGTCCTAGGGGAGAAGGGAGATGTGGTGTTGGTATCAGCCAGGCCTGATTCCAGCCAGCTAAGAAACAAGAAAGCCAACCTCCTCTTTACCTGGGCTGGGTGGACCCAAGAGCCTGTGCCCTTTACAGTCTGTAGCCCTTGCCCCAGATAAGCCTTGCCCCCCAACCCAGGCTTGGGTGTTGGGGAGCTGCCCCATGCATGCACTCACTGGCTCCCGTTTACACACCCACAGTTCCAATCCTGCACACTTGGGCTCTTCCCATGCACACCCAGATCACCCTCATAAATTACTTTCCAGACTCACAGCCCACCCACAGCCCCTGCACCTCACACTAACCAGGTCCTTTCCCCATCACAGAAGCCCTTTGTGTTTCTCTTCTCAGGTCTCCTCATCTTTGCCTACCCCTTCCTGAAGGCTCGGTTCAACCTGGACCACATTCTGCCTTCGATAGGTGAGTTGTCTCCCTGAACCCCAGCAGAACCCTCTGCCAAGGACTGTGCAAGACCCTTTGTGTATAAGTGTGACTGTGTGCTAAGTGAATCATGTGTGAGACTGCTCTTGACATGTGTGGCAGAGTTACTGTGCATGTGTACTGTGCAGGCGTCGCCATGACTACAGTGCAGCAGAATCCAGCCTGTTGCCTACAGCAAAGCTGTCGGAACGTAGGGAGCCCATCTTCCTTGAGAGCTATTCCATTCCTCCACAGCCTCCTTCATCTCCAGATAACCCCCTCTCAGACTTAAGACCCCATAAAGACCCTCTATCTCCCCTAGCACCCCAAGATGCCTGAATAGCTCCCACCTCATCTCAGCAACCCACATACAGCCTCCAAACTCCTTCAATCCTAAAGAGCTTTGCTTGTTCCTAGTGCTCCCCAGGACCCCAGCCTCCTTAAAATTTTGCCATTTCCTTCAAGAACTTGTTTCTTCTGGCCCTCCCCAAATCAGCCCAGATCATGTGGTAGACTTAAAGGAATGTGGTGGAAAAAGACAGCAGCAGGAAGGGAGATTCGACAGCAGGAAGGACTTTCTTTGCCAAGCTGGGCTTGATTTGGGAATGGCTCAGCAACCAGGGGTCTCATCCTGCAGGGGGCCTGAGAATCCACCCTAACCCAGGGCCAGACCATGGAGAGGGAAGATCCAACACCAATGGCAATAAAGAAGGTAAGTTGTAAGTTCCTGAAATTCTGGAGTCCATCTTTCATCTCTCTTCCTTGGTTGGGCAGCCGTGTGGGGCCCCACAAGGAGAACCTCTGGGGGCCATGCAGAGGGACCTCCCCAGCCAGAGAAGCCGCATCACTGGCTAGTTCTTCCCTATGTCCAGTCAAACCCTTCTTGTTCCAAGTTGAGCTGGCATCATCTTGTTTGTCCTTGGGGCTCCACACTGGGGCAAGGAGGCTCCTCACTGTCTCTTGCCCTCCCTCAGGTTGCATTGCCCTAGCTTATTTTCCCCACTCCCCTTTCCGTGGTGGAATCCAACCCTCAGAGCTGATACCTGAAACCAGGCATTTTCCTTCCCCTCCCATCCCATCCCCCACACACTGGAAAATCCCAGGGCAGGAGTGGCCCCAACCCTGCAGATTCTGCCACAGTATATACTCAGCAGAAGGTCCCATCCAGACACTTCCAGAGCACTTTACATACATTAACTTGTTTAATTCTCACAACCACCACGTGAGGGAGCTACTGTAATGAGCTTCAGTTTCTGTAAGGGGCAAGAGGCACAGGGAAATCAAGTGACAGGCCCAAGATCACAGCTAGGGAGTGTGGAACCCGCACTCAAGCTACCAGCAGCTCCAGCATCCTCCCTCTCCCACACTGTGCTTTGCTTTTCTTGATGGGCCATCTTGTCCTTGCTGAGCTGAAACTGCTCCCTGGGACTCACCTCTCCCCATCTATCCCAGCTCTGCCCTCAGGTCACTGGGCACTGATCCAGGGTCCTTCTGAGTTCCTCTGCCCCCAACTGCTCCGTGGGGCTCTGTCCCCAGGCAGCACGTGTCCTGCTCTCTCCCCCAGGAGCCCGCAGCAGCCTGTCCACTGTGAGCAGGACCTTGGAGAAGTTGAAGCCAGGAGCCCGGGGAACTGAGGAAAGCTAAGGGGCTGCGCCTGCCCTGTCCACCCTTCCTGCCTGCTACCCCTGTCTCAGAGCCCTCTTGGGTCCAAGCTGGAAGATCCAAGCCAGAGATGGAGACACCAGACCTGCATTTGCCTCCAGCCAAGGCTCTTCAGAACAGATTCCACGGCCTTGCTACAGGTCCCATGGGGCTCCCTCATTTTTCTCTCATCACTTGGCTTTTCCTTCTGGACTTCAGCTCAGCTTTGCTCCCTTTTTGATCCCCTGATTGATTCCTCTGGAATTTGAGGCCCAGAACCCCAACCCCAGAGAGGTCCCAGTCCCTTGCGTCATTCTGGCCACCAAAGCTAACCACAGGCCCAGAGGAACCACACACTGGGCCCCCCGCTGAACCCTTTAGCCCCCACAGCCTGGCTCTGTGTTTTTGAAGCTAGATGGTAGGAATGAGACCAGATTCCTTTCAAAATGGCAAATCCTGGGCAATTCCTCAGGGATAGGCCTTGAGTGGTGAATCACAGGAGCTATGCTCATGCTTGGAAGAGAGGGACTCAAGGAGGGACAGACACAAGCAGAATGATCACCACTATGACAGGAATCAAGGTGAGCCACTGACCTAGCATGGGATCAGAGAAGGCAGGCGACACCCCAGCTGAGCCCTGTCCTGGGATTCTTGCTGTTTGACTCTACCACTCAGGGCTTTGCACGCTGAGGCTCCTCTCTCCCAGCCTCCCGCCACTCCTTCATAAGCTAAATACTTGCTGCTTTGGGGCCTTGGCTTTATCCTGCAGTGCTCCCTGTTCCCACTGCCTATCAGCCTCCCCCCCTACTCAAAGCCCCTAGCCACACCTACTCTTCATCCCTTCCACCAGCCTGTGTCGCCCTCTCTCTTGATACCTGCAGGTAGGCTCAAAGTCTTTTTCACAAAGCAATTATTATGTCTAAACATAATGATTGTCTACTGAATGTTGTCCCTTTTCCAGTCCTAGTACAGGACAGGACACACAGTGAGGGCTCAGGACACTTGGCGGGTGTCAACGCTTAAGTTCAGAGGGAAGGTAATCCCCTAGGCTTTTCTTGAAAGTCACACAGGGCACTATCACAGGGCTTGGAGCATAGAGGCCCAAGTGCTCCTTGCTCCTCTCCTGCACTTCTAGGTGTTGCTTGGCTTTCACAACACTGCTTGGGCCCTATAGAGACATCTGCTCCATGTGGCCTCTGTCATGGTTTGACAGAAGACAAGCTAGAATAGTCTCATTCTTCCAGGATCAATGAAGATGACTCTTCTTCTTGGAAGCATCCCCAGACTTCACTGAGCTCCCACAGCCCTTGAGCTTCCCTCTGAATGTCTCTGGTCTATTTACCACCCCACCCTGCCTTCAGAGTGGGAGCTGAGGGTTAGGCACACAGAAGGCACCTCGTGAATGTTGAAAAACCAAACCCAAGGGATGTAGCTCAGTGGTTCTGGTGCCTGCCTCCCAAGCGGAAGGACCCAAGTTCGATCCCTGGTACCAAAAAAAAAAAAAAAGCCCTCCAAAGCCTTTGTTCTAGAGAATGCTCCAAGTTCATTTCATTATCGCTGCCTGCTGAAAAACCAAACCAAAAGTGGCAGAGCACATCTCATTGTACAAATGGGAAAGCGGAGACCCCTCAGGAGTAAGCACTGGTCCTGTCCCCCAGGGCAAGTCATGAAGCCAGGCCTTGCATTCAGGTCTCCTCTCTCTCTCTCTGCACCCAAGGCTCTGTCCTCCACATAGGCCACAAGACTTAACTCCCTGACCACAGAGGGAGCCATTGAGAAGGGACTGAATTTCACAAGTGCTGGCCAGCATAGAGGATTGGTTCCTCTAGCCTAAGGGAGTCAGCATCCTCTCTCTCTTAACCCCCTCCTCTCCGCCTCCTTTGTGCCTGCTGTCTGTCGCTTCTCCTTTCCCTCCTCCTTTTCTTCAACAGTATATCATGAGCAAATAACTCAGGCTCCTCCTGATCAGTAAGGAAACCCTTCCTCCCATTCACCTTCAGTCCTTACCTCAGTACCCCAAAGAGACACTCAAGGGTGGAGGAGGTGGGAGTGGAGAATGTGAGCCTGAGCTGTGGGGAGGGTGGGTCCCCCGGGTGGGACCCCCCATCAGCCCCTCTCAGCCATGATCTCCCCAAGGCAGGACGATGGTATCCCCAATGGCTTGATGGGCCAGGTATACAGAGGTGCTGGGGATCAGGGTGAAATAAATTAAAGAATGAGCCCAGAATGGTGGTACACCTCTGAAATCCAGCACTCTGGGAAGCAGAAGCAGGAGGATCACAAGTTCAGGTCCAGCCTGGGCAACTTAGCAAGACCTTGTCTCAAAATTAAAACATAAAATAAGAAAAAAATAAATTAAGGAGTGATCATATAAGATAGCAAGAGCTTCATTCATTGAGGAAGAACTGGGTTAAAAGGACCCTTGAAGTGGAATTCTTGGGGGGTGGTCCTCTCTCTTCCCTGTTGTGGATTTCTGAAACACGCTTCCCCGCAGTGCCGGTGAATATCCAGACACACTCTCCCCAAGAGTATCTCCACCCTGAGACTGACCACCCCGCATCACAGAGTGGGCCATGTGAGAGCCCTGCCTTCTCTCCCCATCAGGTTTGGAGAAGAGGGGAGGTGGGGGCAACCTGGTGGGGCTGGTACAGTAGAGTGGCTGTAAAACCCTCCAATGTCCCAGCATGGACACGGTATATGGACAGGGACTTCCAGCAGTCTGTTCAGTAGAGGAGATCGGTTCTGTCCAGGAACCATGATCTGACACCTGGGTTGGGCTGCGCCTACTGGGCCCTAGGCTGGGTGCTGGGAACACAACCGCAGACTCGATGTGGAGAGTGCTTGGTCCAGGCAGCCCCTTGGAGTCACATCTCTGCTGGACCAGACTGTAGGAGGACTGCTGTGGTTTAGATGGTGAATGTCCCACAAAGGCCTCATGTGCTCTCGGGCTGGGCTTTTGGAAGGCAACCTAGCTGATTTGCTGTTAGGAGTCAGGATCGATAGGAAGAAGCAGTCACTGGGGGTGTGACTGGGAAGGGTGCCTCTCCCTCCTGCGGAGCTCCTCCCTTCACTCTCTGCTTCCTGGTCTCCAGTCTCCGCCAGGCTTTCAGCCGCCCAGACCCTTCCATCTCGACGTTTCTGTATTTAAGCCTTGAAACACAGATTGTAACTTCTGAACTCTGAGCCAAATAAAGCTCTCCTCCTTCAAATTGTAGGTGTCAGGTATTTCACCCAGCGATGAGAAGGTGACAAAGATAAAGGTTCCTCCAGCTGGGACAAGGGGCAAGAAATGGAGGGCCTTGATGTGCAGATGGAAGCTGCCTGCAGCACACCCTCAGGGCCACTCAGGAGGAAAGGCGCCTGTCAAAGGGACACCTAAATTGGGTCTATAAATCGATGCGTGGCTGAATGAGAGGAGGTGGGCTGAAAGACCGTCCCAGCCGAACTCCTCCGCCTGGAAGCCAGCACCTCACACTCGTCCCTACCCGCTAGGCTTCCCTGCAACGCAGCCTGTCCAGCACACCGTCCTACCCCTCACCAATGCTTGCTGCTGCATGCTCACAAGCTCCCCCCACAAATCCCGCCGGGAGATAGAGTCATCCCCACAGGGGCTCATGGCCACACCCCTTTCTAGGTTGCAGGATTGGCGGAGGTTGATTGAGGAAGGGGCTCTTACAACAAGCCCCAACCTTGGAAAACTCTCCCTGCCCACACAGCGCCAGGTCCCTCCAGGGCGGGCTGGGAATCGAAGGAAGCTGAAGGCCGGACCAGTACCACCTGTAGCCCCCGGCACGGCTCGAGTTGGGCTCTGCCCAGGCCGAGCTCCGGCGGAGTGCAGCCGCAGCCGAGGCCGTGTGGGCGGGCAGGAGTTATTTGCTGGGGAGCTGGCAAACCGCGGAACACAGAGGAGCCAAGGGGACCAGGACGGCGGACGGCGCGAGCTGGGGGCGGGAGGCACCTTTTGGGCACCGGGCCGTGGTGGGCAGCGGGCGCTGGGAGAGCGGGAGACGCGGGGCCCGCGCGCTCACCCCTCCTACCCGCCACCGCCACCGCCACCTCGGGAGCCGCTCGGGGAGCTGGCGGAGCGAAGCGGCGCCCACTCACCCGGAGCCCCTCTCCCAGCTCTGATCCGGGCTCTGCACACGGCCCGGCCGGGGCCCACCCCGCCGCGCCGCGCTCCCGGCCCAGCTCCTCGAAGTCCGCGGGCTGTGGACGCTGTGGACACTGTGGACACGCGGCGCGCCGCGGCCGGCCGCCCTGCGCTCAGGGGAGCCGGGTTGGACCGCAGGGAGCGTCCACGCACCCCCTCAGGCAAGTCAAGGGTACAAGAGTTGGGGGAGGCTGCGGGGAGGTGGAGGGCTTGAGGAGGGGCCGCTTAAGGAGTGAAGCCCTGAGCTAGGGGTAGGGCGGCGGGTGTTAGTGCCAGACAAGTGTCAGACCGACCCCCTTGCGAAAAAAGAGGTGAGAAAGACAAAGAGAGACCCAGGAGAAGGGGAGACACGCCGGTGTACTGGCTGCCTTGGGCCCTCTCAGCCGTGCCCTGATCTCTCCCCTCTTAACTCAGTGGAATCTGCCCTCCACAGCCTCCCCTAGGCCCAAAGTGAGCCAGAAAGCAGAGGGAAGTGGGCAACAGACAACTTCAAATCCAAGGGAAAAGAGAAGCCAGGAAAACAGCAGACATGGCTGGCCCCTCTGACTGATGCCCCCCTTCACTATTTAAGAGGCAGGGGCGGCCCTAGGGACACAGCAGCAAGCTGTGCCAATCAGGGGATGCAGACCTGGACCCTGAATCACATCAGGGTGTCCAAAGGGAGTCAGAGGTTTGGGCGCCTTGAGTCGGGAAGTTACAAGACTGAAAGAAAAAAGCAGAGCAGTTTCCAGGCTATACTGGCAGGTGGAGCTCAGCCAGCTGAAGATAAAGCAGACCCAGGCTCAGGCACTGGGAGCTGCGTTCCCACCACACCTGCAGTGCGCAATGGGCCACACCTGGCCAGTGCTGCTCACCACAGCTGGTGAGCTCACCCCCACACCCCCAAGCAGAATCAGGGGGGCTGCCTGGTGGAGCCAGAGCCAGGGCAGCTGCACTGGGGGTCAAGGACAGGGCAGGAGCAGCAGGAAGGTTGGACTAGAGAAACCTTTGGCAGGAGGATCTGCAGGACTCTGAGATGGGCTGGAAATGGGTTGTGGGGAGCCTGTGAGAGAAGAGGGGACCAGGGCTGGCCAAGGCTGTGGGTTTTGTAGGAGATGATGACATTGAAGGAACCTCTAACTCAGAGACAGTATTTCCAGGAAGTGGGGCTCAGCAGGCCAAAGCTAAAGTCACGGGCTGAGCAGAGTTCATTGAACTGGGCAACAACAAGAGGGCCAGTGGCCTTGGTGAATGCAGAGCGGGGAGCACGATGGGATTGAAAGCAGACTGCAGTGGAGGATGATTGAGAAGGAGGTGAAGTGTACACAAGGGGCAGTGCTTTCAAGAAGGGGAGAGAGCCAGGCATAGTGGTGAGCACCTGTCATCCCAGAGGCTTGGGAGGCTGAAGCAGGAGGGTTGCAGGTTTGAGCCCAGCCTAGTCAAGTTAGTGAGATCCTGTCTCAAAACATAAACAAAAAGGGCTAGTGATCTAGCTCAGTGCAAAGGCCCTGGGTTCAATCCCCAGTGCCAAAAACTAAACAGAAAAAAGAAGGAAGGGAAGGAGGGAGAGAGGAAAGGAGAGAGGAGTGGGGGAGGGAGGAAAAGGACAGAGAGAAAGGCAGACAGACAGACGAGGAGAGACTGTTAGCTGTAGACCTCTGTGGGGTTGAAGGAGAGTTTTAGGATGGGACAGGCTTGGGAGCATCTGAGAGGAGGTGCAGTCTGCTGAGGGCATTGGTGAGCACAGGAAGGGGAGGTTTCCCAGGAGGCTTAAGGGCCCACCTGAAGCCAGAGCTGCAGACAAACAGAGGGGCCATGCTGCCCAGTGTGGTTTCTTCTCTGGCTAAACTCGGCAGGTCAAGTATAGACTTGGGGAGGCAGAAGGCTTGACTGAGGCCAGGTTGAGTCTTTGCTTGGGCATCTTTAGCAGAAGGCCAAAGGGACGTGATAAGTGACAAGATAGTAACTGAAGTCAGTGTGGATCTCAGGTGAATGAGATCAGAAAAGAGTCTCAGCAGAGGGTGGTGTGCAATGCTGATAAAGAGCACAGACTCAGCACACCTGGAGCTGGGTTTGCCTCTGCCATGTATTACCACCATGTCTGTGACTGTGGGCAAATAATTTAACCTTTCCAAGCCTCTGTTTCCCTAGGGATGACAATGACAAATAGGGATGACAATAGTGCCTACCTCTTAGAGTTGTCGTGGACTTATGTGAGTCAGTATATATAGAAGGCTTATGTCTTAACCCATTTTCTATTGCTACAACAGAATACCTGAGACTGGATAAATTATAAAACAAAGAAGTTTGTTTAGCTCACTGTTCTGAAGACTGGAAAAGTTAACAGCAGGGTTCTGGCATTTGTCTGTCTTCTGGTGACAGCTTTGTGCTGCTTTAACTCAGAAAGCAGAAGGGCAATCAGGTACATGCAAAAGAGACAAAATACAAGAAGCAAGCTCGGTGTATCACAACCTGCTCCATAGTGACTAGTCCAGTCCCGCAAGAGCAAGAACTCACCACTACAAGAGTTAACCCTGTCCCATGAGAAAAGCATTAACACCTCTTCATGACCTGATCACCTATTAAAGTTCCTGCCACACTGCCACAGTGAAATCAGATTTCCACTGAGTTTCAGAGGGAACAAACCATACTCAAATGATGGTACTAGGTGCTGTCCGGGTGTGTATGGAGGGAGTAGTGGGGGCATAGTTGAGAGCCAGACGTCCCAGTTTGTCAGAAGTGGACTGATTCAGGCTGACAACAAGGACGATAAGGTGCGGGCCTGCAGAGGGGTGGCAGCTGGGGTAGAATGGAGGAACTGGGCATTGGAGATGGGACATCAAGGAACTAAGAGGCAGAGAGCCAAGTGATTGTACACATGATCCTGTGGCCCCTCTGGAAAGGTAAGACTTAGGCTGGAGGGGAAAACAGTGAGTCCCAAAGCCTTGGAAGGAGGTGGACAGGAAGAGCAGTTCTACTCCAGGAGTTTGGCCCCATCCCTCCTGCCCCCACCCCCGGCCCCTGAGTTGCTAGGGAAGGAGGCTAAGACCCAGGCTTAGGCTAGAGATTCTATTCTTCCCACAGATGTGGCCCTGACTAATGGCCAATCTGAGAGCATCAGGAAGGGAGCAGAACACCCCAAGGCAGTGGGGTCACTTTGGCCCGGATGGGTGCAGAAGTTGGTCTAATGGATGTAGCACTGTGATTGCGACAGAGAAGGCTGCAGAGCCCTGTGTCACTGGAGCCCAGTAGAAGTCAGAGCCTGCAGAGACCATCTAGACCAGACTCCCAGGGATCAAACTCGGGTCCTGGAGCTTGCACAGCAGGCGGTAAACCACTGAACTAAATCCCTGGCCCTAGACTGGACTCCCACTTTACCAATAGCAATGGTGAAACAGCTCTTGAGGGGCACAGTAGGTGCTTGCTAGCTGGAGATGCAAAGACTCACTGTAGAAGGGTACCCTCAGAGGAGCTGAAACAAAACACCTGCCCCCATTACTTCTCCCGGGGCTGCTGCTCTCAAGCACCTCCCCTCCAGCCTCCCCATGCCCAGGCAAGAAGTCTCCAGAGCTTGTTTGCTGGGCAGCAGCTCATCCCCACCAGATAGGCAGTTGGCAGTGTCTATCTGTCTATGCATTCGGCCTGTGTCTGCAACTCTGTATGGACTGCAGCTGTGCTTGTATTATGGGTGTGTCTGGTCCCTGAGTGTGCGTGAAGGGTGTGTGTACACACAGGCACACACACAGTCAGGGAGGAGAAGGATGGGGCCCAGGAGTCAGACACAGAAAGTGGAAAGCTAGGCCTTCAAGCGTCATCTTCAAACCGTGTTTCTAGCAGGGGGAATCTGTGTGCGTGCATATGTGTGTGTGTGTGCGTATGTGTGTGTGTACATGTGTGGTAGGCTTGCATGTGTCTGGGTGAGGAAGGGACTGCTGGGGTAGGGTGATGGTGGCTCTTTGGACTCTGAGGAGGCAGCATTCAGTTGGCAGAAGCTGAGAGCATACAGGGCAGTGAGTAAGTCCCAGTGGGAACGAGTAATGGTGATGTGAGAGGTTCCCTGAGGATGGGGGTAGGGTAGGGATA